GGGCACGCCACGAAGTTGCATAGCTTGAAAAATCACAACATTCACGAGAATCCCGTGTTCGGGGCCCATCCCTGTGACGGTTGGCATTTTTTAGACAACAGTGACGACCTTCACGAAATTTTTCGGGTGCATACCATGGCGGGGGGTACCGACACACGACACGTAACCATATATTCGGCCCTTGACTGTTGAAACTGCTGAAACGCCCAAGTTAAAGCATCCTGAAGCCGGAAGCCCGAAACCCTCAGACAAGAAGCCCAGTTCATGCCCCCAAACCCTCAACCCCTAACATTAAGCCCTAAACCCTTAATGACCCGAAACAGGATCTGTGATCGACGGTACGCCTCGATGCGCGAGTCCTTCCGAGTCCTGCCCTGCGAGTTTTGTCGAGCACCACACCTCCTTAGGAACCTGACTTAAACTCCTGGTTTAGGGTTTAGGTTTTAGTCCTAAACCCTAATCCCTACACCCTCTGCCCACCCCCTCCTGGCAAAAAAGGAACCAGACCCAGGTAGGAACTTGCAAGTTTAAGTCTTAAAGCTGAGGCAACATTGCGGTTCAAAGGAGCTAAGACTTAGGGGCTCGCATCCCGGATGCCGCTTTGGATTAGTCTGTGGGGTGTAGGGCGTAGAGGCATTAGGGTTTCGCGTTTCCGGGTTTGAGGTTTTGGGGTGTAGGGCTCGCTTTGTGGCCAGGGGGGTTTCGGGTTTTTCCTCGGGTTCGTCAGGGTCTGGTGTGGGACTCAAGGTCCAAACCCTATAAGCCCTAAACCCCAAACCCTAAACCCGAAAATCTGGGCTTAGCAGGTCCTCCAGCCTGTGCTCTAAACCTTCTGCCGCAGGTGTGCAAGGTCCGACTGTAGGATCGAAGCTTGATACGTTTTATGTATTGTAATTTTTCCTCAGGGCTCTTTTCTGAGTTCCCCAATACCCAACCTTCAAACTTTTTGGGGTCTTATAGTTTAGTAGTAATGGGAAAGTTTAACCTTTGGTTTCTGTGGCTTATCGGGAAGCAAGCTTTTTGTATGCTCTAAGAATTTTGCAGCTCAAAAACCTTATTCTAACTACTAAGGCGCCTACTTATAGAACCCCGAAAAGTAACCCTTATAGGACCCCTTTAAACGAACCCTCTTCTAATTACTAGGCGTGCCTGCTTCCTTGAGCTGCTTCACGACTTGCAACTCATGGTTCGAGTCCTTCTCACCCGGTTTCAAGGAAACTGAACGAGATCCCACATCGGGGCTTAGGGGTTTAGGGCTTAGGGCTTAGGGTTTAGGGTTTACGGCTTAGGGCTTAGGGGTTTTGGGGCTTAGGGGTTTTGGGGCTTAGGGGTTTCGGGGCTTAGGGGCTTAGGGGCTTTGGGGTTTAGGGTTTAGGGCTTTAGGGTTTAGGGCTTAGGGGTTTCGGGCGTAGGGCTTAGGGGTTTAGGGTTTAATGCTTAGGGTTTACGGCTTAGGGCTTAGGGGTTTTAGGGTTTTAGGGCTTTGGGGTTTTGGGGCCATGACCCAACCAGTTTCGAACCCCAAGGGAAGCAGAGGCCGAGGACCCGCTTCTTTGGGGAGAAGACCGACATCCAGATCCAGCTCGACAACGCAAGGAAGGTCTTCAAGAAAGAGTGCGTCGACATGCACAAGGGGAACGACGAGGCAAAGTCGCTGTTGAAGACCGCCCGGGAGCAAAACGATGCCATCAAGCGGGACTTCGATAAATTCAGGGCACGGGCACTCCTTTGGAAAACGCCTCTTCATTTTGTGCCTTGGCTGAACAGGTATACCATGGATGGCAAAGTGGAGGAGGCGGAGAAGAAGGCTAAGGAAGCGAAAGCCGAGAAGGCTGGGTTCTCATCGTCACTTTCTCACAGAGTTCACCTTCGGCCATACTTGGAGGTTCATGGCGTTCATGGGTCGTTATAAGTGGGGTTATAAGTAATTAGGGTAACTGTAATTATAGCCCATATTAGGGGACTTATAACTCCACTTATAACTACCCATGAACCTCCAAGTATCATGTCAAGAAGAAGCGGTGGCCGCAGAACGTGCTGAGAAGGTCGGGTTAAAACTGAATCACAGATTGAGCCCGGCAGCAACCAGCCCAAGAGCCGACCTACGACCGCCACACCCCTTGGTTTAGGCTAATTAGGGTTTAGGGTTTAGGGGTTTAGGGTTTAGGGTCTAGGGGTTTAGGGTCTAGGGTCTAGGGTTTTAGGGTCTAGCGGTTTAGGGTTTAGGGTTCAAGTCTGTGAAAGCAACGCCGGCAGCCAGGCTTTGGACAAATCCCGGCGCTCATCGCTGTCGCCGCAGGCCTTTTTCGGGGTTCGAAACGCACCGCTTTACTAGGACTTATGTAGGGTTCGGCGTGGTTTAGGATTCACCTGTGCCTTCAGAGACCTACATATTGAGGGTTCCTGTCATGGTTTCCTTATATAAATCATCAGAAAGGTAGGTTATTTCCTGACAGGCTGCCGACATTCCCACCGTTCGGTTTGACGTTGAAAAGGGGTTCATGGTCACAGGTATCAAGGATTGAAGCTGTAGTGTAGCGGCTTCAATAATTAGAACAGGGTTTTGGGGCATATTATTTATACTATAATCATAATAAGGAACCCCCCCCCCCCCCCCCAAATAGTAGTGGTAATTATTTTGGCCAGATCGAGGGGAACATGGGCTCAGGTCAAGGTTTATAGGGTTCGGAGCTCTAGGCTTTAAGGGCTTTGGGCGTTAGAGGCAATTGGGGGGGCCTAAATAATTACCTATACATGTTTTTTTTTGGGAGAGGGGGGGGGGGGTTCCTTATTGTAAGTATAGTATAATGGGCCCCAAAACCCTATTCTAATTATTAAGGCATCTACATGATGCCTAGAGGGCTCAGGTTTGCGAGGTGTTGCCTTTACACGCCAGCGTTGACCTGGTTGAGCATCAAGTCAATGCCACAGCCTCCCCCCCTGGGGTTCGAGGTTGTGGCTAAGGATAGCAAAGGTATAACTTTCGGTGTCTGGGGTTAAGGATTTCACGGTCTTCGGTCAGATCTTGCAGGATGCAGACAGCTTGGTACTGTAGCTCGTCGAGTGAGTTTATGTTGAGGCTGATGTTGCAAGAGCATTTGGGACTTAACATAGCGACCTTAATAATTCGCGCAACGCCGATTCAGCGCCCAGACTTCATGAGTGTGAATAGCAACAAGCGCATCACAACACGTGGCTGGCACAAGGGATTCGCTACTTCGGAATATGACAGTTGGTTCATGTTAGAACACGCGTTTGCGGCGCACAGTTTTGAAATTTTGCGACGCATGTTCAGACTTGGCAGGTTTGTCCAACGCATAAGGTTGAGAGAAGTTTCTAGTCTACATGCGTGTTTTCAAACGAGAAGAGGCACATATTCAGAGATTCGACTCCTAATCTGGGTTGACACGTCAGTCTCAGTAGAGAGGTGTAGAAAGCGTGCAATTGCCCGACACCTTGTTTTTATCGGCTCAAACATGTGTGAGCCGGAAAAATGTGTTGTCGCGCACTTGCACGTTTTTCTTTAAGGGTAAGTCTTCTACAGGATAGTACAGTAAATAATGTCGCAGAACATGCATAGGCTAGCACGGCACTACACGGACAAGACGTCACCTAGTGTTGTAAAGGATGCAGAGGATAGCAGTGCACTACCTCTCCCTCCCTCTCCCTCCCTCTCCCTTCTCCCTCACTCTCCCTCCCTCTCCCTTCCTCTCCCTCCCTCTCCCTCC